GACTTTGGAATTGATGTAGGTTGTATCCTCGTCTTTTATGATGACACCAGTGCAATTAGTATGACCAAAAACTCGGTTCATCACAAAAGAACTAAACACATGTATGTTAGGCATCACTTTTTGAGGGACAACTATGAAAAATGTTTGATCACTATGGAATTATGTGTTACTGACAAGCAAATAGCTGACATCTTCACAAAAGCTCTAAGTAGAGATCACTTGAAAGGAACATGTTAGAATTAGGGATGATTAAGGTTACCTAAAGGAACTAGTTCTAACTCAAAAATTTGTTAGACAATTTGTGAATTTTTTACATAATTAGACTAGATTTTGCTCAGTCTCATTCTTTCACTAGTAAACTCTTGTGCCATGTGCTTAAATGTCTTATTAATCCTAATGATATTATTGTTATTTTCTTAGAAAATTTAAACTTACACAAGAGAATTCTCAATGAAGAACCTGGTTCATCAAGATTACATGGTATGTACTCTCCACTTAACATATTTTGAAATAGTTGTATTTGGATCATGATCAAAAGGAGAGTCACATTTAATCCTAGCATCCCTCAAGCTTATCCATTACAAAAAGAGCCAGTTTCACCCAAGGAAAATCCCCAGCACAATAATTGCCTAGAATCTAGGGAAGTCTCTAACGTCTTTTCAAACTGACTCACAGTTTGATTAGACTCTTGAGCTTCTAAAAAGCTGCTAGTACCCAATTAAAGTCTCCCTCCTTAAATTGATTTGGCTTTACCCATTTTTCATTCTAAACTCTTCTGCCGTCAAAAAGTTCTCTCTATCTTCTCTCATCTTTTCAACACACACATATTTCTTTTACCATCATCAATGGCCAATCTCTCTAAGAATCCCTCATCACCACCTAAAGAATCCACACCCACACCTTCAACCACATCTATCTCTAAGAAAAGAAGGATCAAGAGGCTTGCTCGCAAGAACGTCGCTGGCAGTGAACAAATCAAGAAAATAAATAAACAATTGGAAGCAATCCAGGTAGAAAACCCCCCAAAATCTAAATATTTCTTTAAGTCTGCAACTGAGGGGGAAGAAACTGTTCATTTGAAATAGAGCAGGTAACATATGGTCTTAAGATTACATCTGAGAAAATTTCTGAGGTTGCTGAGAATCTGGAGAATAAGTTTGTTTTGGTGGAAACTATTGTTGGGGTTGAATCCACTGAATCTGGAAGAATTGGTGGTAAAAATAAAAGGAGAAAAGAAAAGGATAGTGAGGGTGCTCAAGGTGATATGAGGGGAAAGGAAAAAGAATGAGTGGTTGAATCTTCACAAACTCTTGCTGAGTTGACTGGGGAGATTGGGCTATGGTGTTGTGGAATGAGGATGCTATTGAAGAGGAAGAAAACTTGAGAGAAGAAGGGGGTAGTGGGTCTGGAGATGCAAGTGCAACTGAGGGGTTGGTAAGGTTGAGGAATAGGTTCCAAGAACCTGTTCCATCTGTGCAAGAACCCCTCGAAGACATGCTAAAACAGACGTCTGATAGCTACAATCCAAAAAGAAGAAAAGCTCAGGACTTAAAATCCCTAGAACTGCTAGGGAAAATAAGAAGAGAAAGGTTGCTTATTCTATCCCTATAAAGACTCCTCCTACAAGAGTAAGAGCTACAAAGAGTCAGATGAAGCAGAGTGAGGCTGAACTAGAAAGAGCCCTAGAAGAGAGTAAAACAAAAGCTGCTGCAAAGTGAAAGAAGAAAGTGAGTGAGCCTGTTAAGGCATTTGAAATTGAGGAGATAGACCTCGTTCTTCGTGATGAAGACAAGGCAGAGGAAGAAGAGGTTACGACTCCAATGACAAAGAAAAGAAAGCCTTTCAAAAAGAAGTCTCCTTCAAAGACAAAGTTTGCAGAGCCTTCTACCTTGGCAAAAAGAACCAAGTCTGCCATAAAATCTATAAAAGTGAAAGCAGTGGAGGAAGAAGAGAGTGAAGAAGAATAAACCGATGAAGAACAGGACAAGAAGGAGAAGTTTGGTAAAAGTACTATCTTGAAGGGTAGACTCCTCAGGGACTTGGAGGAGGAAGACATGGTGATGTTGTTGGAAAAACTGCAACTGCAGGGTTGGAAGGACATGGTCCTTAGGATGGATGGAAGTCTTGCTGGAACTGAAATTATAGAATTCATGGAAAATTGTGAGATAAAAAATGGTAGAGTCACCAGTGTGGTGAAGGGGGTGACTGTGAGCTTTGACGATACAGAATTGGGATAGATTCTGAGTGTACTTGCTAAAGGGTACAATGATTATAAAAAGCTCAAATGGCCAAGCCATTAAAAGAGAGTTTTCTAATAATGAGTTAGAGATAAAGCCCAAGGCTATATGCAAAAGTAAGATAAAGTCTGCCCACAAAGTGCTTTTTGAATTCGTTAACAAAGTTGTGTTGCCCAGGCAAAAAAGAAGGTACATTGCCACCTTTATGGACTTGGTCCTCATGGAATGCCTGAATAATGGGAGGCAGATTAATTGGCCAGGGTTTATTATCTAGCTCCTTGATAGAGTTCTAAATGGCACCAAAACTTATGTCATACCCTATGGTTTCATTCTCACCACCATACTGAATCACTTCAAGGTTGCCTTAAAGAAATGAGATATTAGTACAAACAAAGATCAATTTGGGGCAAATACTTTGACTGCTTGTGACTATGAAGTCCATGCTGCTGCTAAAGAACCTGGTTCTTCCAAGAAGGTGCCTGTGAACAGCAAAGTGAGAGCTTTGGTGCAAGAGAGTGGGGATAAGGTTGTTGAGATTGAGATGCTGAAGAAGAGGCTGACTGAAGTAGAAACAAAGAGGGATGCTCTCAAGGCTGAGCTTGCAAAGGAGAAGGAGAAGAATGAAGGCATTCTTCATGATATGTTGAAGCTGATTCAGGCTAGAAACCAAGAACATGGTCCTTCCTAGACTTGAAATATTCCTAGCCTAGTTAGACAAACTAGTGACCCGGATGTGATTTTTTTTGTTCTTTTTGCTCATGACCCAACACCTTTATATTTCTTTATGCTTTGTGAATGACTAGTATTAATGATAATCAACTGTTTTGTGCTCTAACTATTTATTGATGCTTATTAGATAGCTAATGTCATTAGATTGATAAATGATGCTTGACTCAATGATTGCATTTGAAGTAGCCCTAGTGGCCATGAGTGATATCTATTAAAATCTGGTTATCTAACATAATGCAACTTTTTGATGATGCCAAAAGGGGGAAGATAAATAGGTTGTGCTTTTTACTTTGGATTGTGATATTTATAACCTAATGAACCTTGTCGTTGATGATTTGTGACTTTAAAATGGGAAGTGTTCTAACATTGTGTTGATGTTGAGAAAAGTTGAAACAGGTCTTATGCTTATGAAAAGCACATATTTTGTCATCATCAAAAAGGGGAAATTTGTTGTCCTAATTAAGTTTTTTTGATGATTGATAAAGGAACTCAAGCATGAACAGGTCCATACACAGCGTACACAAATACGGGCAAATTCGAGCATAGGGGATACACGTGAATGAGATAAGCTTAAGTGCTTATATCTGATATCTTCAGAGTGAAAATGTTGCATAATTGATAAGGAGAAGGACTTCTTACTCGAAGAGAACTCTATCCTAGATAAGGGAAGAGTTAGAAGTTGAAGATAACTAGAATTCTTCCACTAAGGAAGAGTATTGCATTAAAACTCTAGTTATTTCCTATTCTACTAACTCTATATATTTCAGGATGTTCTCATTTTACAGGCATGCACATACGCTGAAGTTAAACGTGAGTGAAGAGCAAAATAGCAAGGTATTTTGCAAGCAATTCCTGTGTGATTCAAGTGTGTGAACCTGAAGCTACATGAACCAGATAGAAGAACCAGTTCCAAGAGTCTGTCTTTTATTCTAGGTTAATTATAGTAGAGCTCTTGAGTTGTACCTTTAAGCTTTATCTAGAATAAATTGTACTAGGCACTTCGAGTGTAGTATTCAAGTTAGAGTTAACTTGAAGTTGTCACAACAGCTAGAGGCTTGTTGCCACAAAGGGTTAGAGGTAATACTTAGGTTTACAAAGATTTTTGTAAATGTTGTTTTTGGCTCAGTGATTTAGTGAAGTGTTGGAAAAATCCTACTGGGTGATAGGTCGTGATTTTTTCACCTTTTGAGCTAGGTGTTTTCCACGTAAAAACATACTTGTGTTCTTTACTTTCTGCATTTATTATTCTGTAATAGTAGTATAAGAAACACATAGAAGAACCAGGTCCTTCTATAATATGTGCATATGAAAATTAGACACCACACAAATCACCCTCGTTTTGTATGGTATTGAAGTATAAAATATGAGATCCCATAAATGGGGTTTGGGGAGGGTAGTGTATTCGCAGACTTTACCCCTACCTCATAGAGATAGAGAGGCTGTGTCCGATAGACTCTCAGCTTAAGGAAAAATGAAGATAAAGCAACCAAATAGCAAAGAATATTAGCGACAATGTAACATGGTAACGCGCGTGAATGCCACAACATGCATAATGAAGAACCATAAATAGGAAATAATAAAAAATAGTCCTAGTACTACTGGTCAGCCTAGGAGGAACATACTATTGTATATCAACCTACAGTCCTAATCCTCAACCTCCACACCTTCCTATCGTGGATCGTATCCTCGGTAAGTTGAAGCAATGACATGTCTTACCTCTCTCCAATACTTTTTAGGCCTACCCCTTCCCTTCCTCAGACCTTCCATGGACAACCTCTCACACCTCCGTACCGGAGCATCTATATCTCTGCTCTTTACATGCCCGAACCATCTCAGCCTCGATTCCCGCAACTTGTCCTCTATAGATGTTACTCCTACCTTGTCCCTAGTAATTTCATTTTTAATCCTGTCTTTCCTAGTATGCCCACACATCCATCTCAACATCCTCATTTTAGCTACTTTCATCTTTTGAACATGGTACTTCTTGACGGGCCAACACTCAGCTCCATATAACATAGTCAGACTAACATCCACTCAATAGAACTTGCCCCTATGTCCAGGTGGCACATTCTTATCACACAAACCTCCCAAGGCGGGCCTCCATCTCATCCACCCCGCTCCAATACGATGAGTAACATCCTCGTAAATCTCCCCGTTTCCTTGAATAATAGACCCAAGATACTTGAAACTATGTCTTTTAGGGATGACCTGAGTACCAATCCTCACTTCCACTTCTTCTTCATGCTTCCCATCACTGAACTTGTACTCCAAGTACTCAGGTTTTGACCTACTCAACTTGAAACCTTTAGACTCCAGCGTTTGTCTCCAAACTTCCAATTTAGCATTAACTCCACCTCGCGTCTCATCAATCAGAGCTATGTCATCAACAAATAACATGCACCATGACACCTCTCCTTGTATGTGATGCATCAGCACATCTAAAGCTAAGGCAAACAAAAATGGGCTAAGAGCCAATCCATGATGTAACTCTATCTCCAATGGAAAATGATCTGAGTCTCCTCTCGCAGTCCTCACCCGAGTCTTCGCTCCTTCGTAGATGTTCTTAATCACCCTAATGTACGCAATTGGGACACCGCTAACCTCCATACATCTCTATAGGACCTCTCGCGTGACTTTATCATAGGCCTTTTATAGGTCGATGAATACCAAATGCAAGTCCTTCTTCCTCTCCTTATATTGCTCCACCAATCTCCTCACAAGGTGAATGGCTTCTATAGTAGACCGTCCCGGCATAAATTTGAACTCGTTCTTGGAAATAGTAACACTACGTCGCACCCTCATCTCCACCACCCTCTCCCAAACTTTCATAGTATGACTCAGCAGCATGATACACCTATAGTTGTTACAATCTTGGATGTCAACTTTATTTTTATGCAATGGGATCATCAAACTCTGTCGCCAATCTTTAGGCATATTCTTCGTCCTAAAAATGACATTAAACAAACCAATAATCCACTCTAAGCCTTCCCGAACCACTTCCTTCCAAAATTCCACTGGATCTCGTCTGGCCAAGTAGCCTTACCCCTTCTCATATTTTGCATCCCCCCTCCACCTCTACGCTCCTAATATGCATACAAAACCCAAAATCCCTCTAATTCCCTGAATTCTCTAACTCACCTAGCATATTTTTCCTATCCCCTCCCTCGTTCAAGAGCCTATGGAAGTACTCTTGTCATCTACGTCTGATACATGTCTCTTCCTCCAGAACCTTACCATCTTCATACTTGATGCACTGCACTTGGTCCAGGTCCTGAGCCTTCCTCTCCCTAATCTTTGCTAACCTGAACAGCTTCTTGTCGCCCCCTTTTCCCCCAAGATCCTCGTACAATCGCTCGAAAGATGCAGCCTTAGCCGTCGTGACTGCCGATTTGCCTCTTTCCTTGCCTTCTTGTAACACTCTCTACACATCCTCTTCTCCTCCTCGTCCGTGCTCTCCACTAGCTTCAGAAAACACAACTCTATTTTTTAGTTATTATTTTCACTTGAAATGTTTTGCACTTTTTGTGAAAATTCACAATTCTTATGTCCAAACGCCCACTTAAAGTCTATGGAAACCCAATGTATGCTTCAAAACCCCTAAAAAATTTGTTGACTTTTCCTTCTCCCTAAAACAAAATTTGCCAAAAGAAGCTCGTGCTTGTGAAAAAAGAAAAAAACTCAAAGAGAGGCAGCTCGAACCCTAAACAATATGTCAAGAATGCCTGCGAAAAAAGGTACATATAATTTTCTTTTTCTTTTTTATATTTTTGTACGGGTAATAACTTATCTGACAAATATGTTGTCAATATGACTCTAGAACTGGACTACAACTTATTTGGATGTTTGTTACTTGTTGTATTGTATCGTATTATTACTTTAAATACAATATTATTTTAATTGTTATTTAAATATTAATATATTGTATTGTTAAATTCGTTGTTACATAACGATGAAAAGACCAATTTCATGCAACGATCGGTCTGGCGTGATCGCGTGGTTATATTTTATTTTCCTCATCCTACCTTACTATAGTTTTATTTTATTCTTTACCTTATATCTTAAAATAATTACCCTACCCCATACTCTACTTTTTCTTTGTAATATTGTACGATTATTTTTTAAATTGATGGTGTATGACAAAAGACGATACAGTATATTCAAATATTATATTCATTAAATAATACAATATAATACAATGCAATATGATACATTAAGAAACAATATGTAAAAACTATCGAAACAAGCTATAGCTAGGATGAAATAGTTTTTTTAGTGTGGTCTTACTTTGTCATGCTGCTCAGAGAATTTGTGGATCGCTTCCAGCGAAAAAGGATGATATTACCTCGCATACCCGATAATTAGGCAGCAATGGCATTTTTCAGCAACCTCAATAAGAGAAGCTCAGAAGCCACAAGAAGATTAAAAGAGACTTTGTGGAAGTTTTTAGTAGCTACTTGGAATGATAACAGTTATAGCACAAAACTTCGAATAGGTGAAGATACGGTATTCCAACCAAAGGTGGAGGATAGGTTCCGATCTAAATGGTCAGAAATAGAATGGAGGTCCCAAAAAATAGGTACGAACCTTATATGGGACCTACAGGGCGAGATCTTACGCTAAAACTGGAATGAGCATTGTTTGATCGGAGATCACGACAAAAATAAGCAGGTTCCTCTTATCGATTTGGAAAGGAATGGGATTTGACAAGAAACAACGATCAAATTCTCAATCAAAAATAGGTTACAACTTCAATGTCAGTACTTTGGAGTTAAGAGCAGTGTTAAAAGGTATGGGCAATAAGGTATGATTGTCCAAAGTAATGAAATCAGATCCTAGCAAAAGAATCTAGGAATTCTGTTGTGAATTTCATAATGACCATGGTCACAGAACAACAGATTGCAGGCTTTCGCAAGTAGAGGATTATTATTTATTAAAAAATGATTATCTCACTAACCTATTTAGTGAGAAAGGTACGCAGTATTATATAAACAAAGGGAAGAACCACTGAAGCCCCCATCACCAAAGAAGATGGTGAATTTAATAACTGGGGATGAGGAGGTTAATAGAGTAATATACATAGCAGCAGGAAGAAAAGCCAAAATTTCATTGGCCCACGGGAAGCGGATTCTAAAAGTCTTGGAGGGAGAGAGCATAACATTCGACGTTGCGGATGCGGATCGCTTGTTCATCCCTCACAACAATGCACTGGTATTCTCTTTACTTGTTCATGGAAATAATATCGAACGAGTTTGGCTTGATCTAGGTAGCTTTGTGAATATTATATTACTAAGATGATCAACGAGATGCAAGAAATTGATCATGTAATATCCAAGGCTTGGTCTTTTTCTAGGTTCAACAATTCAAGTGTCATAGCAAAGGGAGAAATTACGTTATTTACATTTGCCAGAGGTGTAGTGAAAGATACCAAAATTCAAGTGGTGGACGCAAACATGGCTTATAACATGGTTTGGGGAGGTAATGGATTCATGATATGGATGCAATATGATCACGCCCAACTATGCTTTATAAAAAGGACAAGCGATCGTTGCAAATATAATCCGGGTATTTAGCCTAGAGTCGAATCCCACTGGGAATTAACCTACCAACTATTGTTGTCAGGCTCTCTGAATTCTCCATAATTAATTTTCCAGATATTTTGAATAACACTTGGTGATATTTATACTAATTATAACTGAATAAAATTTAAGTAAACTAAGAGCTAACTATGACTGAGTTGTAAACAAATAAGAGAAGGATCTAAGGTTGTGATTTACCCTATTGATGGAATCCCTTCCTGTTATGTTCCGTATAGCTTTGTCTAATCATATCTATCAATTATGAGCACTCTTACTACCGCAAATCTCTCCCAAGTAATTACGACAATTTACTAGATGCACTCTCACGAGTTATGCTAGCTGGCTTTTATTACAGCTCACTTAGATCGCACCCAAGGTTTTGTTATCCCTAATCCCACCTTTAAATCCTCGGTAATTGATTCCTCATATACTTTGGGAGTGGTTTTGTTCAAAAACTACCTAAATATGCACTCTCTCCTGATTACTATATATTAAATAGGCACAACTAATTGAGGATCCTATCAATTAACTACAACAAGAACGTAATTGAACAAATAGAGATTAAACGGGGCAAACTATATTAACACAACAAGAAGTTCATCCCTCAACAGGTTCCATAAAAATCCTAAACTAAATAATTAGCTACTCATAATTGTGTTCATAATAACAACAACAAAACTCATCATGAATGATAAAAACAAAATGAATAAAGGTAGAACTCGTTGCTGAATTATCCTCCTTGCCTCTTGCCTCTTCTTGCCTTCAACAAAACTATAAAAACCTTAATATCCTCTTTTTGGGCGAGCTGGACCTCTAATAGGTTCAGTGTAATTGCCCCCAAACTTCTAAGTTTACCTTTGAAATTTCTACGTTCCAGAATGACTAGCACGACCGCGCTCGAACTGTGCTAGTGGCCGCGCATATGGCCAAGTACACTGTCCCATTTTTCTACTCTAGCGCGGCCACGCTTGGCCTGCGCTAGAGTGGATCAGCATTTTCTCTCTTCTTTTATTTCTTCTTTCACACGTACTCAACTCCGAGGGGATTCCCTTGCTTTAATTTAGCTCCAAACACTGTCTTAAGTCCCCATAGGCACAACTTGCTCCTGCAAAACATGAAATTCACAAATGACTAGAACGGTCGCGCTCGAACCGCGCTAGTGGCTGCGCATATGGCCAAGTACACTGTCCCATTTTTCTACTCTAGTACAGCCGCACTGAGGCCGCGCTTGGCCCGCGCTAGAGTGGATCAACATTTTCTCTCTTCTTTTCTTTCTTCTTTCACACGTACTCAACTCTGAGGGGCTTCCCTTGCTTTAATTTATCTCCAAACACTGTCTTAAGTCCTCATAAGCACAACTTGCTCCTGCAAAACTTGAAATTTTCCTCCTCGCCTCTTGCTCTTCTTGCCTTCAACAAAACTATAAAAACCTTAATATCATCTTTTTGGGCGAGCTGGACCTCTTATAGGTTAAGTGGAATTGCCCCCAAACTTCCAAGTTTACCCTTAAAATTTCTGCATTACAGAATGACTAGCGCGGCAGCACTCGAACCACGCTAGTGGCCGCGCATATGGCCAAGTGCACTGTCCCATTTTTCTACTCTAGCGCGGCTGCGCTTGGCCCGCTCTAGAGTGGATCAGCATTTTCTCTCTTCTTTTCTTTCTTCTTTCACATGTACTCAACTCCGAGGGGCTTCCCTTGCTTTAATTTAGCTCCAAACATTGTCTTAAGTCCTCATAAGCACAACTTGCTCCTGCAAAACATGAAATTCACAATTAGAGCCATTTTATCGTCATTGAACCTTCCTAGAATGGTGAAGCATAGTCAAGTTGGGGCATAAATAGTCGCCAAACTACATGAATCTAGACTATTATCAACACCCAACACTTAATCATTGCTATTCCCCGAGCAATCCACCATACTCTATAAAGGTTCCTTCACTAAGCTTTTCCTTAACGTATCACACCAAGAACATATCACCAAAGTTGCAGCTAGTAGTGTAACATCTTTGCCTCAAGAGTCGACTCTCACGTG